AACTCAGGTCCTCCTGACTCCCAGGCTGACATTCTATGCACTATGCCATCTAGCTGCCCCTGGTACCAGCTAGTACCTAGGTGTTTAAGCAAAGAAAAATCATTTTATTATAAAGTAAAGTAAAGATTAAAGAATATATATATTCTTGGGGAAGGCAAATACTGCAAAAATACTTGCATGATACATTTCCAAAACCAAATACCACTGTGTGTGTGATTGTTCACTGGGTGTGGGATTCCCAACTTCCTCAATCAGCTAATGGAGACAATTAATAGTAGAAAAGATGCCCAGAGCCAGAGCCTGGGTGCAATGCTACTTAATGGAGTGCTTGGAACCCTCCACCTCTACAACCTCAGAGGTTCAGAGACATGCTTACTCTTCTGCTTCAATTGGGTGATGAGGTTCAGAGGCCTTGATGAGCAAGTCTTTCTCTGAGGAGTGTTCCCAAGACTACTAATTCTGGAACCCAGCAGACAGCTGTGGATGTTTGGGATTGCTGTTGTGAGCCATCCTGCCCCCAAGTAGAGCCCACACTAGCAATTTTTGTACCAGGGTCTAATAGTCCGGGTCAAGGAGATTTAATTGTTGCTATTATCGTTGGCCATGGAGATGGGGGGAAGGATCCTAAGAAAGAGCTCACATAGGGTGTAACCAGAGATGCCATCTAGTGGCTTGTATTTTAACTATTTATTCTTGTTATTTTTTGCTGCCTTAATGCTAAACTCAGTTGTTTCTTAACAGCTGAAGTACTACAAATACTATCAGTACCATCTAAGTTTCAGTACTCTGGGGCAAAGTCCCACTTGCTCCACCCTAGTTAGAGTTCTGCTTGTATACCTACCCTCCACCTGCCATATGCCTTTCAGACACACTTCATTCCTCTACTCACTCTGTACTTGTCTCTCTCCGATATTTCCTTCTCTTATGCTCCTATTTTCCTTTTAGTGGGGTTAGGGAAGAGAAGGAGTCTTTGAACCAGTAAATTTGATTTTCATTCCTGGGAAAATTCTAGAAAGAATTGTTAAAGAGATGGTTAGCAAACATCTAGCAAAGGAAGTAGAAATACTAGAGAGCCAGCATAGCTTCATCCAGAATAGGTCATACCAGATTAACTCTATTTCCTTTTTTGTTTTGGACAGGGTTACTAAACTGGTGGATAAGAGAAAATGGGCAGCTAGGTGGCTCGGTGGATAGAACACTGGGCCTGGAGTCAGGAAGACCCGAGTTCAAATCCTGCCTCAGACACTTACTAGCTGTGTGACCCTGGACAAGTCACTCAACCTTGTTTGCCTCAGTTTCCTCATCGGTAAAATGAGCTGGAGAAAGAAATGGTAAACCACTCCAGTATTCTTGCCAAGAAAACCCCAAATGAGGTCACAAGGAGTCAGATGCAACTGAAAATGACTGAACAACAACAAAGATGAGAGAAATGCTGTAGACCTAACTGTGGATGTAACTCATACTCTACTTGTAGAAGAGACACAAGGATGGATACTAGTTACAGTTAAATGAATTTGGACTTGGCAGACTGGCCAGACTTAAAGAGGAGTCATGAATGATTCACTGGCAGCTTGGCAGAAGGCATCTAATAGCGTTAACAGAGATTTTCCTTACCTTTGAGCCATTTACTTATTTTTTTTAATCAATTACCTAGATAAAGGCATACTCGTTATATTTGCAGATGGCCCTAAGCTTGAAGGGATAGCTAGCACCCTGGATGACAGTGAGGATCCAGGAGATTTTGACAGCCTGGAGCACTGGGCTGAAGTTCATAGGATGAAATTGAATAGGGATAAAAGTCCTACATTTGGTTTAAAAAATAAACAAACAACTTCATAAGTACAGGATGAATGAGGCATGGTCAGATCAAAGTTTGTCTGGGATGGGGGAAGGGGGGGAAGGATCCAGGGATTTCAGTGGACCGCAAGCTCAGTGTGAGTCAGGGGTGTGATGTGACGGACACAAAAGCCAACGCAAGTTTGGGCTGTGTTCAGGAAAGCCCAGCTTCCACAAAGAAGGAGATAATAGGTCCTTTGTACTCTGTCTTGGTTGACTACCTCTGGAGTATTATGTTTCATTCTGGGTACCACAATTTTAGGACACTGATAAACTGGAAAACGCCCAAAGAAGGGCAGCGAGAATAGTGACGGGCCAGAATCCATGTCACGTACGGGACAGCGGAAGAAACTAGGGATGTTTAACCTGGAAAAAACAAGACCACTGGGGGAGTGGGTTTGGAGGGGGAAGGCTGGTTATGTTGAGGTATTTAAAAGGCTGTTATTCAGAAGAATGATTAGATTGGTTCTGTTTGGCCCCAGAGAGAACCAGAAACAATGGATGGAAGCTGTGAAGAGGCGATTTAGGTTTGATCTCAGGAAGAATGTTCTGACCATGAAAACTGTTCAGAAGTGGAATGGGCAGCCCTAGAAGTGTCTGGGTGGGTGGGTAAGGGCCTTCACTGGAGGTTTTGAGGCAGAGGCTGAGTGACGACTTATCGGGGGTTATAGCAGAGATTTCTTTCAGGTATGAGTTGGAATAGATGGGCACTAAAGTACCTTTCAACTCTACAATCTATGATTCTGTGACTACCCCCAGAAGGTGTGGGTATATCTACAGAGTATTGGGCGCTCAGTAGATGGTGGGGTGGGTGAGAGCACAAAGAACTGAGCTGGGGGCCGGGGCAGGGATCATTGGGTTTTGAATCTTGTCTCTGCCTTAAGTTTCAACCTCCTAGAGACACTGTTCCAGATCCTGCCCCATCTTGAGACACCCTACCCAGTGGTATAGTGTATTGTTGCTCATTGTTTCAATCATGTCTGACTCTCCATGACCCCATTTTAGGGGTTTTCTTCACAGAGAGAGTGGAAGGGTTAGCCATTTCCTTTTCCAGCTCATTTTACAGATGAGGAAATTGAGGCAAACAGAGTTAAGTGACTTGCCTAGGGTCACACAGCTAGTAAGTGTGAGGCAGGATTGTAACTCATGAAGATGAGTCTTCCTGACTTCTGGCCCAGTGCTGTATCCCCTGTGCCACCCAGCTGCCTCACTGGTGTAGCATACCAAGGGCATTTCCCTGGCTGGGTTGGGTACTGGCCAAGGGAAATGTTGGCTAACATTTGTTGTCCTTCTCTGAGACTACCCTCTAACAAATAGAGATCAAAAAGAAATAAGGTACTTGGTCAGAATGCCTTCCCAAGTTATCCGAAGCAGATCAGAAGCATTTTTCTCGCAATAACCTTGTGAGGTAGGTAGTGCAAGGCTCATTTTACAGAAGAGATCGAGTCTCAGAGATGTTAAGGGACTTGTTCTCATACCTCAAGTTAAGTGCTGAAGCCAGAATTGGAACCCAAGATCTCCTGTCTCCAATCCTAGCCTTCTACTCTACTTCACTTTTAATGCATGTGACCTTGGGGAAATCACTCCACCTCTTGGGCCTCAGTTTCCTTATCTGTACAATGAGAGAATTGGACTAAGTGATTCTCAGGTCTTTTTTAGTGCTAACAACCTGTTATTAGGGAAGACAGCCCAGTCTGTCTGATTAACCAGGCTGAAAATACACTTTGAATTATCCATATTTGCTTTCTACACTAAAACAAATTAACTAGAGAAGATACTCTTCTGGCCCCTAGGAGATTCTCTCCTAGTAGTCTCCTTCTTTCTAGCCAGGGAAGCACCAGCATGTATGGAAAACATTTGTGTGAACTGGGGAGACTCAGGGATGCTTTAGAATAGCAGTCCTCAAAGTGGAGTCCTGTGACCCTTGGGGGTCCCTGAGATTCATTCAGGGAATCTACAAGATCAAAACTATTTTCATAATAATACTACGAAGTTTTCATTCCTAATATAGCACATATCCATAGATATGATGATATAATCTACAGAAAGAAAATCTCTTCGGTGGAGGGACTCCATAATTTTTTAAGAATGTAAATGGGCCTTGGGCAGCTAGGTGATATAGTGGATGGAAGGCTGAGGCTGGAGTCAGGAAGACTCATCTTCTTGAGTTCAAATCTAGGCTCAGACACTTAGTAGCTATGTGACCCTGGGCAAGTCACTTAATTCAGTTTGCCTCAGTTTCTTTATCTGTAAAATGAGCTGGAGAAGGAAAGGGCCAACTACTGCAGTGTCTTTGCCAAGAAAACCCTGAATGGGGTCATGAAGAGTCGGACACAACTGAAAAAAGGAGTGAATAAAAAAAAAGGAGCCTCAAAATCCATACGTTTGAGAGCTGCTGCTATAGAAGGTTGGGATAGTTCATTGTTGTGGCCAAACAGATGTTTAACCAAGTAAGGATGAGTTCCTCTCAGCCCTTTAAATAAGCCAAATAATCATTTCCTACTCAGGACAGCCCCACAGCAAATTCTGAAGATCCAGGTCTCTGGGTCCTAGCAATTAAAAGAAGAGAAACCGATTCCCTTTTTGGAAGTGATTATTCCTGGGGTCTGAGCACAAAGTCTCCCTCTGTGATACTAAGCCAAGAACACTTCTTGCCCTAAAGTCCCCCGTGGGTCCCCTGAATCACTAGCAAATGCTACACCCATGGTAGCTGACTCACTCCTTCAGGCCTAAGAATGACCTTTTCCCTCCCTTATCCACTCCTTCCCAGTCAGGCCATCAAATTGGGTCCCCTCAGGCTGACACCGTCTCAGGCACGCATGCCTATTCCATCTTTAAGATGCGCATTTTCCCAGCCCCAGTGAAGTCCTTGCCTTAAATGGCCTAGATTGAAAACACAAAAACAAAAACAAAAACCAGAGCAGAGGACAGGGGAAAGAATCATAGGGATTACATCCATGAGGGACCTTAGGGGTCATCTCGCCCAATCCTTTTCATTTTATAAGTCAGAAAAGTGAAAGTCCGAAGGTTAAGTGATTTGCCTAAGGAACTGGGACTGAAACCCAGCTCTTTTGACTACCAATTCTGGGCTCTTTTTGCTACATTGACGCTTTTTAAAAGGTTGGGCAGGAAGTTACAGTAACATTCCAGTGGGAGCCTCCCTGAAGCTGAGAGAGAGGTGGGGAGTCTCTTCTGAGGCCAGAGGCAGATAGGATTAACTAGGAAAGCAAGATTTGGGGGGTGAGGGGGGAAGGAGAAGGCAGGAAAGGAGGAGTCTAGCAGTTAGGTTCCCGACTGCCCTTGTCCCCTTCCAAACATTCCAGCCAGAGCGCGATGGAGACATCTCTTCCAAATCCTCTGGGGGGCCCCAAACGGGGGATCCTCTCTAATCTGGCAGAGTTCCCAGTTGGATTGTGAAGGTCTGCGTTGGCTCTGAGGAGCAGTGCTGGTCAGCCCCTCTCCAGTCAGTCTGAGGGTAAGAGTGCGGGGGTTGGAGGTGGGGGCAAAGCCCATTACTGAATGACAACAGGAGGGTGCTGCTGAATTTGGTGGTGTGATGTTGAGTGGTGACTGGGGTGAAGGTTAACTAGAGGTCCCCTAAACAGCAGCCTTGTCCCCCCAAGGTTCAAGAACATCTTGGAAAGGAAAGGTCACAGAGGAAGCTCCACCTTCATTTCTTGATTCTGGGGCAGAATCCAGAACTATGCAGGAAGCGACTGGTAAGATACCCCAAGATGCCCCCATAGCAGAACATAAAAATACTGTGTTACTGTGTTGTGGCAACTTGGTAAAGGCAAAGACCTTTTTTTGGATGGGACTACATTCATGATTGAAGGAAATACTAAATTTCAATTAGAGGTTCATGAAAATAAAGATGTAACCTTTTTCTGTCCAATTCTTGGACTCCCCGAAATCTATCTGTGGAACCCCATTGGGAACCTCTGCCTTAGTGGGTAACCTGCCTGAGGAGACAGTCCAGTAACAGAAAAAGAATAAGGATCAGGGGTCAGCAGATCTGAGCTCTGGCCCCAGCTGTCTGACCTTGGGCATATGTCACTTTATCCTGTGCTGCTGTTTCCTCAGCTTTCAAATAGGGATTAGCATTGTATGCCCTTTTATTCCAGATTCATAGGAATTTGCCCAGCCTTAACTGAGATCATCCTTTCCTAGCAAGCAATCGTATTTCCCCAGGCAAAAAAAAAATAAATTTTTTTTGGATTAAAATACTTTATTTAAGAGAATCTGGCTTTTCTTTGGTCTCCCTGTGCCTGCTGTTTCCTCAGCTTTCAAATAGGGATTAGCATTGTATGCCCTTTTATTCCAGATTCATAGGAATTTGCCCAGCCTTAACTGAGATCATCCTTTCCTAGCAAGCAATCGTATTTCCCCAGGCAAAAAAAAAATAAATTTTTTTTGGATTAAAATACTTTATTTAAGAGAATCTGGCTTTTCTTTGGTCTCCCTGTGCCTGATGAGCACGGTGGTCAGGAAGAACTGGTGTGACACACGGGAAGTTCCCAGCCTCCTCCCACCCAACCCCCTTGAAAAGAAACCTGCTCAACCCATTTCACAGAAGGCCTGGGTATAGCACAGTGCTCCTCAGTGGGCTGGATGTCCTGTCCAGAGAGCCTAGGAGCAGGGTCTTCCTTGGAGTCCTCAGTATTTTTTCTACATTTTGACCATTGTGCCCAGGGCTAAGGGCTGTCTCTGCCTTCATCTTTTTGGCATTTGTATCCATTGGTACTGCCAGTGGGTCAGAGTGACATATGGGGGCTCTTTGGAGGTGACATCCCAGGCCAGGAGATAAATTCTAGCAGTCAGTTTGGAGGAAAGGGTTGCAAGGTCCTGGGAGAAATAGGAGACTAGAGGAGGTCCCCTGCAGAGCATTGTATCCAATGTTCTTCGAAATTGTCCCAGGCTTGGCTCTCTGCCATTCAGAGTGGCTGCCAGGGTGGGAGGGCACTTGCTAAGAAAAGGCTTAATTGCTCCAGCAAATTCTCTTCTGAGACCCTGGATGGCCAGGGTTTTCTCCTCTTCCACTAAGCAAAGGTAGCTGTCCCCTCCCAGACACCCCAGTTTAGGTGCCACTTCCCAGGTTCCTTCTTACCTACTCTCTTCCATTGTGAAAAGCGGGATAGGCTAGACCTCTCTAGCTGATCCTTTCTGTATAGGGCACAAGTAACTGTTTCCTTTCTGTCAAAAAAACATTGCCTAGACCGCAGACAACAGATGCTTTCCCCTCCAAGGTCCAGAGGTCCCTGTTTCATTCAGAAACAAGAGTGGTAGAGGGAGAGGGTTCATCCACTCCTTCTTCTCCTCTGCACCCCAGGGTTCCATGGAAACTCCTGGGAGGAGGAAGGGTACCCTTCCCCCACACCACTGCTTCTGAGTCATAGTGAAGTGTTCAGTGTTTAAGTACATCCCAACACCTCGACTCCGGATCCTCCTGCAGGCTCCTCTATTTCTTCTTAAGGCACCAAAGTCCTGAGGGTGGGTCTCCCAGCCAAGGGAGAAGTAGACATTCAGCAGGGGTTACATTTGGCTAATAAATAGAAGGGCTGTGGTCAGGGAGGTAATTGAGATTGTGAAAGGGGCAATAAATATAAGCTGGGCTTTCTCCAGGGTCCACTGGGTTACCTTGGGGGAACAGCATCTTCGCACCTGCCCAAAACAAAATGCAGAACTGGGGTGAAGTCTGGGGGTGTTCTCTCATAAAGGGGCCTGAAAGGCAGGATTCCTGGGTTTCTAGTTGCCTGGTGGCCAAAGTTGAGCTCTTGCGTTTTAGTGTCTTGTTTGGGTCATGAAAAAGAACAAAGGGGCCCTTTCCATCTAGGACTTCCAGATCTAAGTCCAGACCGTGGCTGTCACTGATTGTGTAACTTTGGACTAGTTACTTCTCCCCATGTTTCCATGTCCCTAAGTATAAACTGTGGGTATGAGATTGGAGGATCGTAGATGTGGAGCTGGAAGGCACCTCAGAGGCCAATCCACTGATTCTATAGATGAGACTGAGGCCAAGGAGGTTAAGTGATTTGACATGTGAGTAGCAGAGCTGGGCTTCAACCTTAGACCCTCTGACTCAAAATCCGGAGTTCTTTCTACTTCACCAGGATTGAATGGATGAGGGATTAAGGACTATGGAATCTTTCCCTTTACCACTGGCTTCTCCTGCCTCTTCTGAGTCTGAAGGAGGTCAGTCCACAGAGAGTAAAAGGGAGAGAGAAGTTCTACAGGGTATAAAGACCAAGGTCAGCTGATTTCCTTAGCATTTTGGCAGACTGTTTCAATACATGGGCTCTAGGGTAACTAGGTGGGGTACCTTCTGCCCAGCCACTCTTCTCCCCCTCACCAAAGGATTCTCTCTAGTCTCTGGCTCCTCTCTTCCACCCCCACCAGCCGCAGAGCCCCCAGCCTCCTTGTCTTCCCCTCCCCACCCAACACTCACTGATGACAGTCTCTGGGTCTTTGCTTCTCTCTCTTCCTCTTCCCTCTACCCTTGAGTCTCCTCCTGTGTGAGAAACCAAAAGGATCAGGACACATCAGCTTTGGATGGGGCTGGGGGAGAAGGGGAAGGGCTGTCCTGAGCTGGAGCCCAGCTTACTTTTATCCCAGACCAAGGACACTCACCTTTCTGGCTTCATCTTCTCTCTCCGAGGCCTGGGTAGAGAAGAGAAGGGAAGGAGACGAAGGTGAGTTGGGAGAGATCATATTCTCAGGGCCAGTAATTGGCACCAGGGCCTCTAGGGAGAGGGGCAGAGCTCATTGGACAGAGGTGGCCTGGGAAAACCCTAATTCCCAGGGCTTGAGTCAGGGGATAGAGAGACAGTCAGATGGATCATTGATCTACAGCTGGAATGGAGTCAGATGGCTGACTGGGAATGACTAGCTCTACCCTGCCCAGTCCAGTGGGGTTGGGGTTGGGGATGGAGGTAATGATAACAATCATTATGCTTAGAACTCACATTTATATGATGCTTTAAGGTTTACAAAGCTCTTTCCTCACAACAGCCCTGTGAGGTAGGCTATACAAGTATCATTATTCTCACTTTACAGATGAGGAAACTGAAACTCACAGCAGGGAAGGGGACCACCAGGTTCTCATTGCTAGCTAGTGAGTGGCAGAGTTGAAATTCAAATTCAGTCTCTTCCCAAGTCCAACACTCTTTTTAGCAGGGTCCCCAGATAAGGAGTTCAGGGGGAAATGCTGCCCTTCCCCTTCCTCTCCCCGCAGCAAAGTGCAGAATGCTCTCCAAACCAGCAGTCGATGGCTGATTGCCCTATCAAAGCAGCTTCTCCAATCCCTAAGGCACCAGGCACAAGAAGTCTGGGAGTAGGTTTTATGGCAGTTGTTTTTACCAAATATTTTCTTCCTTTACAAGAAAGATAGGGTTCTTGGAGGCTGCATGACTCAGTGGAAAGGGGGCTGGCCTTGCAGTCAGGAAGACCTGAATTCAAGTCCTCCTACACACACACACACACACACCACACACACACACATATATCATGTGAATAAGTTACCTCTCAATGCCTCCAGTCAATTAAGATTTTTGTAACTGTGGAGGAAGTTTCCATGTTCCACAATCTCCACCAATGAAATCATAGATCCACACAAAAAAGGGGGACAGGAGTAGGGAGAAAGTTCTACTAGAGAAAGGGGTATTAGAAATGATAGCCATGTGAAAAAATAAATCAGTATAAAACATTTAAAAAATTAAGTTCTGGGAGTGCCAATATTTCTGTTGGTTCACAGTCAGTGGCTTCACTCCTCGATCTCCCTTCCTTTTTGACACCTTTCTCATCTTCTATTTCTACTCCTTTGTTTTTTATAAAAAGGATGCGTAAAAGATTGGGTAAGTGTCTGCGTCTCAGCTCTTGGGAAAAGGAGAGGGACAACAGAGACTCTTTAAAATAGCTAGTTCATAGCAGGTCATCAGTGATATTAACTTGTTTTGAATATGAGCTCCTGGTCTATACCAGCAACACTTAGGGGCCAGGGCCAGCTCTCCATTTCTTTGGGACAGCCTTCTGAGGACATCAAACCCAGGGATATAGATCTTGAAGGCCAGAATACCAGCCATTGTCAGGGAGCGTATGAGAATCGGGATTAACAGTCAGCTGTTACCACAAGGACCTCCATCTCTCAGGCATGGGGTGACTGCCTCACAGCTGTCCAACTGGAAAACAAAGTACTCCTGTTGTGTTTTCTCTTGTTAAGAGGAGACAAGAGGCCATCGAAGCTCAGGGGGAAGTGATGACGTCAATCTGGTGTTTGGTTTGTAGGTGAGAGTGGAGAAGAGTGAGGGTCTTCTTAAGTGCTCCAGAAGATGCTTCAGGGGTCGTGCTTGAGCAGATGTTTGGAGGGTAAGCCTTCCAGGAGGTCAATCTGCCCTGGTGTTAAATCCTCAGGAGGTGGGTCTCCGAAGAGAAATTCAGCGTGGGTTACACATGATATTGCAGCTCTGTGTGTGTCAGGGAGGCCGTGGGGTTGAGGGGAAAGGAAATTGGTGCAGGAGGCAGAAAACTGGACCCCTCTCCTTCCGACATATTAGCTCCATGATGATTGGCATCAGCCTTGCTAAACCTCTGTTTCCTCATCTGTAAAATGGGAATGAAAATCACACCACCTACCTCTTACGGTGGCTTGAGGAAAGCATTTTGTTAACCTCACTGTGTAGCAAACAAAGAATGATCAGGCAGGGATGGGGTTGCTATCTTCGTCATTAGAGGGAATACCTCTGCGATCTGAGATTTGTGGACTGGTCACTTAACTGCTTTGGTTTCTTTTTTAGAATAGGTATCATAAGAAGTTACCCCCCCAAAATCCTCACACTCACACACACCCCTTTAGAGGGCTGTAGTGAGGATAACATGAACTAATATATTTGGTAGCACTTTGAAATTGATAGAGGGCTATATCAGAGAAAATTATTAAGACCAGATCATGTGGCTGAAAGGAATCATGGCATAGGGGATAAAAAGGCGGCCTTGGAATCAGGGTAACCTGGGTTCGAGTCCTGCTTCTGATACCTGCTGACTATATAACCCTTAGCAAATCACTTAACCTAATGGGACCCCCAGGAAATCCTCTAAAAAGTTACAGAAAAACTCCCTGTCTACATTGATAGAGGAAATTTCCTGACCAGTGGGTTGTCTCCACCAGTAAATGAAACTTTGGTCTAGACTGCCCCCCCCAAAATCATGAGGTGTATCACCAGAAGATGGAATAATAACTAATCTAATAATGACAGCTCTCATGTAGTGCTTTAAGATTTGCAAAGTGTATCACATGTGTTCTCATTAATTCCTCCCGGTCACCCTGTGAGGTAGGTGTTATCATCACCCCTATTTTATGACTGCAGAGACTGAGGTTGAAAAAAGTTAAATGATTTGCCCTCATTCGCACAACCAGAAAGGATGTAAGGCAGGATTTGAATTCCGGTCTTCCTGACTCCGGGTATAGTGGCTATATCCACAAGGTTAGGGGAAAGTATTTACTACTCACTCTAATCAAAGCTGAGGCAAAGCCTGGTCATGTCTGAGTTGGCATGGTGAGCAGAGAAATGGTAATGAAATGTGTAGCGGGGAGGCGGAGACAAAGGCCCCATCGTTACTTGGGGCCCCACGCTGGATGTGAACCATAGCTATACAATTTAGGGGTACCCAAGCTGTTGTATTTGGTTACCTCTACCCCAGAGCCCAAGGATAAGAGGACTGGCACCCTCTCTTGCTCTCAGGAGTTCCTGATTCCCGAGGATGTCAACTTTTCCTGGCCCCTTGTACTAGCAATAAAGTCCGCTGGTCTACCCCCTGGGCTGAAGGGACAATGAGCCATTCTTTCTATGCCTCTTGAGCTTGGGTGGGAGTTCCAGGGGCCCTATGATTCAGGGGGAGGTTTTGGCCATGGCCTGGAACTTTAAAGAAACCACATGTGTTTCCCTTTGCCCTAACAAAGAGTCCCTTCGCAGGGCAGGCTGCACTCTGATGGACTTGTCCTCTTATTCTACCAAGAGTCTATGGAACCTGCTCCAATTTTCCAAGCACAATTGCCCCAGAGCTAAGATCAGCCTCCAAAACTTAAGCTCCATCAGGTCCCCAGTGAGTGGCTGTAGTTTGTGCTTGGTGGCTAGGGTTCCCAGGCCTACAGCTTCCTCCCAGCAACCCCAGGGCTGAGCACCCCAGCACTTGTAAAGCCCTGCATGATTAGCAGTTATTTCAACTTCTCTTTCCTGCTTTTTTGGATGGGACCCAGGAGTCCTCTTCCCATTCTGCCACGCAGCTGTAAACCAGCTGTTGGTTCTACCTCTCCAGGCAAAGGCTAGAAGGGGAGGATGGGGGTGGGGTAGGGGGAAGAGATGGATAAAGGAGTAGGAAATTAAATGCAGCTGCAGCCAGAGTGCCTCTTGGTGAGTTAATTATTTCCCTGTCTCCAAAAGTCCAGGAAACAAAATGCAGAAGGCCTCAGCGGAGACCTGACCATCCGTCTGTCTCAGCCACTGATTTGCTGATCAAGAGCAAATGAAGATAACTACATTTTAAGCAAAGGGCCTTGTTTTCCAAGAAAGGAGAGTCTAGGAACCTGAGGACAAACTCTCAGAGAAGTTCGAATCTGGGCTGTGGAGCTACGTCCGTGATACCCTGTGAATAATGGCCCACTGGGACAGTAGGTGTCCCCTCTGCTTCTACTAGGCCACATCTCCCAGAATCACAAAGCCTTTAGTTGGATTTTAGGACTTGGAAAGGACCTCCTAGAGATCACTTAAGCCAACCCTACCCTTACTTTTTGTTTTTTTACAGATGAGGAAAATGAGGCCCAGCAGGGTTAAGTGATTTGCCCAAGGTCATGTAAGTAAGTAGGGACAGAACCAGGCTTTGAATTTGGTGACTCTTTCTACTACCCCAGCTCCCATCCCCTGTTGTGGGGTGGGTGGGCAGGACAGTAGGAATGCTAGTAGCCTCCAGAGCAGGCCCGAGAGTGCCCAGGACCCTGGTCACAGCCTGTGCCATGTGGGTGGTGAGAGGCAGGGATCCCATACCTGCATTCACACCGCACATGCTCAGTGAATGCTAATTCCATGTAGGATGGCTGTTCCCCAGACTTGATCTTCAGAAGCTGGAAAGGTGAAAAAGAAGCTGGTTATGAGATTTGAAGGGCAAGGTGGAACGCTACAGTTCCCCATCCATCTCCCCTCTAGAACAGTGGATCTTTAACCTCAGGTCTGTGGACAGACTTCAGGGGATTCTATGAACTTGGAAAGGGAGAAAAATAATAAATTGATTTCCACTCACTTCTAACTGAAATTTTGCTTTTCCTTCAATAATGAAGGCAACAAAAATTATTCTGAGAAGGGATCCGTGGGCTTTACCAGATTGTAAAAGGGGCCCATGGTACAAAAAAAGGGGTCAAGGACCCCCTGCTCTGGAAGAACCTCGTCTCTCTTCCACCCAACACAGAACTTCTCCCCACTGCATTTCCTTCTGCCTCCTTGGGAAGAAGAGACAGAGTCTGCCTCCTGAGTCCTACCAGCCTTTGCCCTCTATACCCCTGCTGAGTGCCAGACAAGCAGCAGCACCTATAATGGCAGACCCGGGCCAAGGAAGCAAGCTGCTGCATCAGTCCCAGACGTTTCTTCCAGCTGATCCCATTAACATAGAAAACCAGAACCAGCCTGAGGGAATTTGTCCACTTTCCCCCAGCTAATAGCATCATCAGTTCCTACCCTATACAAAATGTGGGGGTGTGGAAGGATGATAAAGTACAAATCACTAGAACTTGAACTAGAACTAGAACTTGTTTTTTTTTAAATAGTAAATATTTAATAAAATGACTATTGAATATTTCAATATCAAAGACTGGTTTGGGGTGGGTAGTGAGGGGCAAAAAACTGGATAAGTTCTGATGATGGGGAAAGAGGGGAACCTCAGGGACGGAGCATCCTGGCCTCAGAAACAGTGTCGGAGTCTCAGGGAGTAGGTAGAGGGTCCAGAAGTAGGGCAGTGGGGGTACCTGCATGGTGACATTGGTTGTCTCCACAGCAACGCAGTGGAGGTTCTCATCTCCGCAGCAGCCAGTGCAACGCCTCAGTGAGACACAGGACGGGCTGAACATGTGCTCCACTTCCCCTGGGTACTCTGTTGAAACATCCACTAGCTTCTCCAGCGAGCGGCAGAAACTTCGGCCCCATACCTCCTGGAAGGGCAGCACTACAGGGGGACAAAGAAGGGTAGGGTCTGACATCTAGAGGAGAGGAAATGTGGGGAACCTTCCTCCCTTCACAAGCACCAACGTCAAGGATGGGGTAGGTTAGACACACTCAGTCCTTATCTGTTTTCTTCACAGACTCTTTCACCATATTGCTCCCTATTTGTTGCCTGACCCATCCATGCACAGTACCTCGCACATGGCAGATGCTTAATAAGTATTTGTTGCGTCTAAATGTCTATTGAATCCTATGAAGCCCAACTCACTTGACATTTCTTCTTTGAAATGTTCCCTGAGCACTACATCCACACTGACTTCGAGATAAACATATAGAGGGAGAAGAGCAATTTTGGCTGCTGGTAGAAAGCAGGGGAAAAGTTACCAACTCTGCCTGGCTCAACATGCATGGTAAGCAGGGGCATTAAAAGGGCTTGGAAGGAATTTCCTCATCCCAGCTGATTGGCAGTTTTGCTGAATGGAGATGATTTTGAGGGCACCCAATTTCCTGCCAAAGGAATATAATAGGAGTTAAAAGGAATTTCAGACCCTGACTCAGATAAGGCTTAGACTGACTCATCCCAAACACCAGTAGCAGAAGAACAGAACTTCAAGAGGCAGACAAAAATATCTAAAGATTTTTCTCATTGACTGGCTAGGATTTGAAGCACAAAGGAGCAAAAAATGGCCCCTGGAACTGTCAAGCTAAAGACCTGGCATACCCCTCCTCCTATGGGGACAGAGGCTGCACAGTAGCCAATGACCAGAGGATGTTATCAGAGTGCAGAGGCCCAGCAGAAAGCAACATGGCCAGGAGAACTGAGAGAAAGAGGATGCAGTTCCAACAGAGAAAACAGCAACCTTGATCATATCAGCAGAGAGCACTGCTGGTCCCACAGCATTATGTGTTCTCTGTACATGTACCTTTCCAATAGTGGTCCCTTGTCACATCACAGTTGTGTCCTGCATGTGTCCACTACCCTGTTGTATGGCATACACTATGAGGCAGTGTATGCCTGGGTTTATAAAGACTTTTTTTTGTCATTTATTTTGCTATAGTATTTAAATGTCCTTAGACGTTATTTTAGAATGTAGGAACCACGTCTTCTTCCCTAGTCTCAGCAGCCCCTAGCATGGTGCTGGGCACGTAGTCAATCCCCAATTAAGATATCGTATTGAACTGAGTTGCTGAATTGTTTTCTTAGCCTGAGTTCTACCGGGCTCCTCTAGGATGGGTGTGAGGTTGAAAGCCCTTCACCTTTTATCCTTTCTCACATCAGATACTGTACCACAAGCATGAGCCTGTATCCTTCCCACCTACTTAGAGCTCATCATAATACTGAAAACCTTAAAACGCCACATAAGTACAAAACTCATATATTTGCATACATTATCACAGTTGTTCCTCTCAATAACCCTGTAACGTACAGATTTACTATCCCCATTTTACAGCTAAGGAAGCTGTGGCTTAGAGGAGTTGTGACTTGCCTAGAGGCCACATACCTGTTAAGTGGCCAAAATGAACTCAAACCCTGATCTCAAGTTCAGGGTCCTAAGCTTATGTCCCCACACAGCCTTTCAAAAAGTACAAGGCAAATGGCTGCTGAATAATTTTTTTTTTGTGGTAGTGAAAAATTAAAAATCAAATGAGTGCCCGTTGATTGGGAAATAGTTAAAAAAATTGTGGCAAATGAATGTAATGGAATATTACTACACTGCAAGAAATGATGATAACGAGTAATCCTGAGAAACAAGGGAAGACTTCACAGAATCTTGGGATTTCCAAGTTGGAAAGGATGTCAGAGGATATCTAAGCCAACTCAGGAGCGGTAGGGTATGAAACAGCCTATCAAACTCAAGTAGAAATGAGTCCCTGCAGGGCCCATATTGACTTAGAAAACCACAAAATAGCATTATCTACGTCATATTGTATTTGTATTTTATTAAATGTTTGCTCATTACATTTTAATGAGGTTCCTGCCCCCATCTGGCTGTGAGTTTGACAGCTCTGTTGTAAAGGATGAAGTGCTGTTGTTTGAGAGCCAGAGAGACCTAGGTTCAAACTTACAGTGTGAGGCTGGCCAAGTCACTCAACCTATCTGAGCTTCAGTTTCCTCATCTGTAAAACGAAGTCTCTTCCATCTCTAAATCTAAGATCCACACCTGAAAGAGAATCCTCACTAGAACATACCGGATACATCGTAGCCAATGAGGTAAAGCAAGTCAAGGGAAGCAGAAGGATAGGAACAGCATACATCACAGCTACAATAACGTAAACAGAAAGAACACCAAAATGAATTAGAATGCTGAGTAGCTACAATGACTAATACCCACTCCGAAGGAGAGATAAGTAAACGTCTTCCTCCTTTTGGCAGAGAGGTAGGTGACTATAAACATAGAGTATAACATTAACTGTCAAATGTGGTCACTGTCAGGGTTGATTTTGTTTAAATGTTTTTCTTTACTACAAGTAAGGGCTCATTTGCCTGGAGTGTGGGTATATAAAAAATGACTGATGTAAAAACAAAAAGCATCAATAAAATTTATTTTTAAAATAATGACTAATGAAATCTGAGGATTTTCTAGCCTCAGTCTGGTCTGGTATAAACCGTGTTCAGTTGAGAGAAGCCTATTGGACTCCCTAGTCCTGAAGACCTTGAGAGAGTAGGTCTCAGGTCTCCCTGGCAGGTTGGGAGCTGAGTGACATGACCTCTAAGCATCATATCACTTGCCAGCTCAAAGACCTTCAACATCTGTCCTAATGAATGAAGTCTGAATTTCTTTGTTTGTCTTTCAAGGCCCTTCAGAGTCTGGCCCTCTCCTCCCTAGCCAACATAAACTCCGCGGTCTACCCAGGTTATTCCCCTCACTCTCACACAAACACACCATGTTCTATATAATCTATACCATCATCCAGTTCAGCTTCCATCTCCTCCGTTAAACCTTCCCTGAATTCTCAACCCAGTGAACTCTCTCTCTGTGAGTGGACACTCTCCTCTCAGCTCCCAAAATGCTTATAGTCTATTAAGAACATGGCACCCATGTGCGTGAAACAATAGTGGCCATTATGAGATAGTACATGTCATCTTTAGGATAGGCATGATGGCATAGTTTAAAGTTTGCTGGATTTGGAATCAGTTCTGCTTACTACGTGGGTGACCCTGGGCAAGTTATATCTTTTTCATGTGTGGGGAAGAGGGGAGACAGGTCAGGCCCAAGCAGGTTGTACTTTGGCCAGAATCTTGATTCTCCAATTGATAATTCTCCAATAGATCTGTAGCTAGAAGGGACCTCACAGGCCACCTAACTCAATCCTCTCATCTTACAGATGAGAAAACTGAGGCCAGAGAAAGTTATGTGACTTGCTCAAGGTCATAAAGGTAGCAAGTGTCAGAAGCAGAATCAGAACTCAACTCTTCAGATTGCAGAATCAGTATTTTTTTTTCTTGTATCATGCTGACTCTTCACAGGGAAGAGGATCCCCATGTATGCTACCCTACATAGGTACACTTTTTGTCTTTAATTGGGTTCCCAGTTCTTGTCTCAGCTATCTCAGCCTCAGTTTCCCAATAAGTACAACAAGGGGGTTGGACCAGACTTTAAGCCCCCTTCCAGCCCTATACTTGTAAGTTCTCTAGCTCATAAGCTCTTCGGGGGTTGGCATGAAGTTTTATATTTTGTCTACATCCTCTCCCATGTTTGTAAAATGAATAATCAGCCTTGGGACTCTAGGCTTGCCTG